CTGATAACGAGCATCCATGTGCGTCTCCGTTGACCGTCGCCCTTACAAACAATGTTGAGGCAACCCCCTGAAACTAATGACGCAACACTTCCGTTTGAATTGTGGAAAGTATATTTTTTCACTTAGAATCTGTTCTTGCTGGAATGCACTACCAACGCATGTGGTGAATGCACCAGACATCACGACGTTTGAAAATCTATTGGACTTTCATCTTAGTGATAAATGCTACACAACAGTTTGATAAAGTGCGACGGCCTAACTACTGATATTCCACGTTCCATGTTGGAACATTTTTAATTTTAATTTTCTTTTGCATATCCATCCTGTGGATCTTGTAAAGTTATGCTTTATAGCCCATCATACATGGATAGGCGACTTTCTCGTTCAACGTCACTAGAACATGAGGGTTAGCAGCACCCTGTCGAAACCAGTCGAAGTTCAGTGCGGCGTACCTCAGGACTGGGTACTCGGGCCAGGCTTGTTCCTGGTTTTCATAAACTATCTTGCAACTGCTGTCTACAATTTGTCTGCTATTTGCAGATGATCTAAAAATATGGTGTGTTATCGCTTAAGTGGATGATCACATAGCCCTACAAGATGACCTGGACAAAGCGTACACATGGTCCATCGAGAACATTCTGCAGTTAGACGCTACCAATTACAAGTTTCTGAGCATACTCCTTCAGAGTACCCACAACTACCACACAGGACTGCCAATTCTAGAATGGGCTTCTCATGAGTATGATCTTGGCGTGCTTGTGCAAGAGGACCTTAGGTGTTTGAGGCAGGCTGACAAGGCATCAAAGAAAGCGAACCAGCTCTTCGGTTTCCTACCTAGGTCATTCGGGAAGTTTTAGGCCTCAATCTTTCCGAAAATGCTTGGTGCTTAAGTGAGACCACAAGCGTAACACGCTGTCCTGGCGCAGCAACCCTGGCAGAAACACCACGACACCACGTTTGATATTGCACAACGCCCGGCGACAAAGAAGATCAGAGGTTTGTCCCGCTTTCCCTACCCATTCAGGCTGAAAACCCTCAAAATTTACCGCGTCTAACAGGCGATCTCAAATGATGTATCAGATCTTGAGAAACCCCAACCACACACGCCATTTTCTTTTGAAACAGTCAAAACAAATCTCTAAGGGGTTATCAATTTAAGCTGGTCACGCAGTACAACCGATTGAAATGTCGACTAGACGTTTTCCCCTTCCGAGTGTCACAACCTTGGAACGCCCTCCCGGCCCAAGTAATGAATGCCCCAACTTTATCCCTTTTCAAAAAATGTCTTGACGATACTTTGACACATTTACGCTATGGGACATAGCCCGTGACCATCAGTTGATGGCACTAGTGCACAATAAACAGTGGACGGCATTATAACCCCTCTATAATCTAGGTAGGAATAACGGCTCACGTGCTAACCCAAACACCTTGGTGAGTCATGTATCTAACACCTTCTTTTATTAACGCAAATTTTCTATTTTGCGATGTCCACCCTCACCATCGTACGGCGAACGGCAAGCATTCGCTTTCATAGCCGTCATAAACTCTTGTTCCATTGTTTTATTGTTCCATTCCTAGAAACATGAAACTATGTGTAGAATCAGCCTAACGATAACGAATTAGTATAAATGTAAGTAGCAACGCACTTTTGGGTGAAACGGTAACGTAGAGTGGCTTGTTGTCGTCTAGTACTGGTGTCAGCTAAATTGAGTAGGGTTAGCCAGATGTTGGGTGTTGCCTGCTGAAACCCTACGCACCACGAACGGTCCAACACGTGTTTGTATTAGACCCGTTTAGCACAAAAACCTCCAGCACTGGACACACATAGTTGCAGGTGGCACTACGCTTTCAGCGGAGTTCCCGTAGTTCGAAAATCGGTGACGTCGGAAGTGTATATAGGTTACCTTTCATGTTTTCTAGCGACAGTAGAAGTTGGAGGATTGCTAACGCCGGTTTCGTTCAACGTGCGGGTCAACCTAAGAGCTGAAGCGCTCAACCTTCGCACGCATGCGCGTGCACACGCACACGCACATGCACTTCTCTTGAAACAGATGTTACTTGATCGGCATTGAGTAACATCGATTTCCTAGTTTCTTCTGAACGCTTAAGGACGAATGATGCTGGACGTAGCGTAAAATCACGTTCACCACTAGCGCGTGTGTGTGTGTGCAGGTTGCAGGTTATGGCGACTCCATAGCCGATCAGATGGTTTGAGTAGGTGTGAACAGAAAACAGTGGCACAAATCCTTTGGTACAAACTGTTTGGTAGGCATTACTTCGATCCAGTATGTGATCGAAGCACGTGGTAGCAGTGGACAGAATAGATGAATGCAAATCTCCATTTGCTTGTGAACTTACTCTTGTGCTCAAATTAAACATTTGCCGGAATAGCAAGTGATTAACTAATCTAGCGTGTGGACTGAACTGAAATTGTTTTCTAAGACACAGGATCAGTCATTGAACCCGGTATCAGCCTGTACTACTAAAGACATGTTGAACAAATCTACTGGTAGGTTACATGAACAAATGCATATAGATGCACCCCCTGATGCTGAAGTAACAACAGCAAAGTCCAGATGAAAAGCAGCTATAGCTTGAACACATCACATTCTGCAAGCAATCTGGGCCGTTCATACGTAGGTGAGAGAAGGTATGTGCACCCAGTCAGGAATTAGATATCTCGGATGACTTAACAGATCCTAATCAGCATAAATAAATAAATAAATGGTATATTCCCCAGTGATTCGAGGTGTAGTCCAACTATGTGGTCTGATCAATGTGTACAACAGGATCACAAAAAAATCATTTTGTTCGCGCTTTTTACAATGGATCCAAAACAGGTACTAAACTAATTGGCAGAATTAAGGCATTAAAGAAAGTAAAAACCAGGAAAAATAACGTAGGCAGATTTAAACAGATGTCCAGTTAAAGTAATACAGCCACTCGTGGAACCATCCCCACGGGACTTGCTTCTATGCAAGGTATTCATTCGAAAGGTTTCGCCCACACTTCCATGCAATAACTGGCCGTGTGCCGGTGTGGCATAGTAGCATATGAGACATCACCTGTTTATCGTATGTTCTGTTCTTTTTAGAGCTGCTTTTGTACATGTATTATGAGCGAGGAAGCCTCAGCCCAGTCCGTCATGCGGATCATTCTATTATGGCACTTTTTATATGCCAGTCAGTTGGTGGTAATTTGCCTTGCATAGGTAAAGTCTTTTATAATGTGGAAGCTATAATCCGTCACCACAGGAGATCAGCCCAGTCGTGTCCAACTATGAAATAAGGAAGAATATGGCAAAGAAGAATTATGTGAAAACTATATCGTTAGTGTAAAAAATAAGCAGGTATGTTTTTACATCACCGTAAAAATGGATCGAGCCGATCATACGATCAAATTGTGTGGCGTGACAGCCGGAGACAGATGACCGTACGAGTTGTCCATATGCAAAAGTCGCATAGGGAATCAGTTATTGCCATCACTGAATTCAAGTATATGTTTCTGGACTGTTAACTTCAGAAAAGAAGGGGGAATGATTAGCACTGCAGAACAAATATAGCGAAAGGGATCGCAGAACAATATTACGAATTAATCAATTTGTGGGGAAAATTATGAAAATAGTTCCTGACGCCCCACCAGTAAATAATTTTGCTCTCGGTTTTAAACAGAAGACAGTTGGTACGAATTAAGTTTGAAAGGAGTAAAACCGCATAGGAGGTAGCGTTAAGGAATAGCATAGGAAGCGGTTAGTAACAGCTCATCCTAGCTGATCATGTTTTCCCTGTTGCATTCTAGTAGATGTTCTCCGGTATCATACGTGATCCGGCCCTTCTTCATCCAGCTTTTCATCATCAAGTTGAATTTTTTAGGATCCATTTCGCTCTGTCCGTTGACAGATAAGCCTTTATCATTTTCTTGAACATGCAGAAATGTTCAATACACCTAATCTCTTTTGGCAGCTTATTCCAAATGGAGCCATACCTAAGAAGATAGAAATTTCTCCTTAGGCTGGTTTTGAATTTAGGTAAATAGAATATGCATTCATTATCTCGCAGTTCATAAATGGTGTTTTCCCGAAAGTGCAATTGATAGGTTCCAGCATATGCTTTCCGCCACGCGAGTTTGTGGAGGAAGCGCAGATTTAATTGCGTTCATCGTAACCACAGAGGTTCAAGATTCAACTGCTTGCACCTATCTCTGTAAGAAAGAGCATGGGACCATTTATGAATGGGAACCACTCGTTTACATACTGCAATACCTGGCGGTAGTTCTTTTATTTCAAAAGAATAAATTGGTTCATCCGTCAATTTTCGTTAACCAAAACGACAGTGATTTCCCAACTCTCTCGTGTGATTTTAACTGTTAAAAACGACAATATTCATGTGTTGACTTATCCGGTTAGCTTTCCGAAACAGGCACCTATCCATGTGCATTAATAATTTCAAAAAATAAACTTATCATTAATGTTTGGACTTGGGGTATCTGCTGTGCAGTCGGATTGCGATCGAAAGTACTGTTAAGAGGTTTGTTTCTTTTGTGCTTGACCTTGACAAATCCGATCACTGGGAGCTTGTCTGAAACGTATAGTTCTATGATACTCGCTCCCAACACGCGGCCGGTACCCAAATACCCAACATGTAATTAATACCTCTGTGCTAGGATTTAGTCACCGAGGTAGGTGGTCTAACTTTTAAGACATTATCCACCAAAAATTATCTCGTAATTTCCACTCCAAGCCCGACTGTATCTAGCTGATGAGCTCAAATTGTGCACAACCGGAGGCGGAGTTCAGCTTTGGGAGAGCCTGAAATCAGAAGTACACTTCATCTAGATCGGCTTTACCAGTGCTTCCAAGTCGGCTCGTTTGAGAAGAATGGACGATGACTGTTTCTGATGTCAAGTAGTTGATGGACTAGCTAGCGCCATACGCAGCACTTAAGCTTTGGGAAAGTGGACGCATAATACGGCAGAAAATGCGTGATCTTTGTTTGACTATGAGTGGTCATGTAAGGAATGCACAATTGGAAGTTTCCATTGTTTGGCAGTTCCGCAGCATCAAAGTAAGTGTATCTTCTAACGGTCAGTTAGACAAGATAAGGGACAGTTTTGAAACAAAACATTTGGAGGCCTACTTCTGCATTACCTTGGTGAGTTCATTTACCATATCCTTACCAGTGCATTAAAAATTGCCATTGCAAAGTACCAGATGATCTACCTCCAGCCCTCTTCAAATTAGGGGGACCTACTCTTGTGTATGATTTATACGACTTCCTAGTGAAGCTGTGGAAGCAGGAAACTGTTCCAACCGACTGAAGCCGTTCCGTCATAGTCCCAATTTTGAAGGGAGGCTCACGATCGGAATGCGGCAGCCACAGAGGAAGCAGCCTGATCTCCATCGCCTTCAAACTGCTCGCTACTGTCATACTTCACAGACTGACTGGCACTCGTGAAAGCCAGATTCGTGAAGAGCAAGCTGGATTTCGTCGAGGTCGTGGCTGCATTGACCACATCTTCACTTTGCGTCAGTTGTTGGAGCACCGTCACACATATTGGCGGCCCACCGTTGTCGTGTTCCTCGATATCAAAGGTGCATTCGATTTGGTGGATAGGCGTGCACTTTTGGACTGTCTACCCAGGAAAAGTGTACCTGAGAAATAGGTAAATATTATCCGAGCATTATATGCGCGTAGCACAGGCGGAGTCAGGGCTTACGACAAGCTGTCGCCACCATTTAATATCTCCAGCGGTGTGAGACAAGGATGCCCGCTCTCGCCTTTCCTCTTCAACTTCGCTATTGCTGAAGTCATGGATATCGCGTTTACAGGACACGATATAGAAGGTGTGGATCTGCTCCCAGGAGAACGACTTCTTGACTTGGAGTATGCTGACGATATTACCCTAATCTGTGACAGCTCCCTGATGTGCCAAGCGGCACTGGACAGATTAGCACTAGCTGCCTTTCATTTCGGTCTTTGCTTTGCATCATCGAAGTGCAAAGCGTTCCTCCAAGATTGGTCTGGGCCGTCTCATACGCTGACCCTTGGTGGGGATCAGCTAGAAGTCGTCTAGAAATTTAACTACCTGGGAAGTTGTATCAGCGCCCTTGTGATTGAAGATGAGCTCACGAGCCGTATAGCAAAAGCTCGAGGCGCTTTTGCTAACCTTCGCCACTTTTGGCGCCAGCACGACATCACAATTGCCCTGAAGGGTAGAATGTACAGTGCAGCCGTACGTTCGACCCTACTGTACGGTCGTGAAACGTGGCCTATTAAAGCAGCGGACCTGAAGATGCTAGTGACGTTCAACCACCAGTGCCTTCGCAATTTAGCACACATCTGATGGGAACACCGCGTGAGCAATGAGCGTGTCCGACGCCTTGTTTATTGCACAGGAAAAGGAAATGAACCGCTCAGCACCGTTATTTCACGTACCAGAGTCCGATGGCTCGGGCACGTGTTACGCATGCCAGCCCACCGACTCCCGCGACGTGCGTTGTTTGCGCACCGGGGGTGTGGATGGAAGAAGAGGAGGGGCGGCCAAGCGATGACTTGGTCGAGAGGAAGGAAGGCCCTCACTTCGAAGCTGACTTCAGTTGGAGCGTCTCGGCTGCCTGGTTGGGGTCCGAAAGAAGACGAACACGTCTGGTTGACTACACTTGTGGATATGCCTAGGAGCCGACCTCAGTGGCGTTCGTGCTGTGAGTTTCTTTGTCCCACCCATTCTTCTTAACCACCCCCCGTCCAACCACGAGCTCACTATTTAGTGTTATGTGATTATGCATAGTAATTTTTTTGATACACGGGACCCGGCTGGTAGCTTATCGGAACGATGTCCATGCGGTTGCATTTTTTCTCCCTTTATCTCCTATGTATTGCGGCACAATAGCTGAGGTGTTTCCCACCTCTAGCTAACGTGTATAATAATGAATGATAATGTCCTTTCGAGCGTGAGGATAACCAGCCGTGCCTTGGGTCCTGGACTCCAAAGGAACTTGTCTTTAACAGTAAACGTTTGTACTGCACACAATCGAACTACTTTTGCATGTACAAGCACAGCTTTACGATTTCGTATTTCGAGTCAGTGGAGTCTGAGATGCAATTCGAATTTTGCTGCAACACAGCCTTTTGTTCCTGTTATCATCAGCATCCATTTTACGATAATCGCCTAAACATAGTTTAGCAATACGACGTAAGAAATGTAAGTTAAAGTAGATCTAAAAATATTACTGTTTTATTATTTTACAACTTTAGATTTTATTGGTAGTTGGGCTTTTCAAATGTCTAGTTGTTTTACTGTTTCCCGCAAATCACGCTCTACCTTGCTGTGCGATCTCGCTTATCTACTTTACACTCTTTGTAGCTCATTGTTATGTAATTGGAGTCCAACTACTTTTGCATCTTAGGATATTTGGGACTAGATGGGATTCTTACTGTTTATCAGCGAGGCTGGTATCTGGGTTGCAGCCTACCTGTCTGCTGTAGAACGAAACCTCAGATAATCGTTAGCTTTGTGCCATAGCCGATTTGGTTGTAGTCAAACGATCCATCAGAGGCTTTTCCAACCAAAGTACCTGCGGATCTTGGGACAACCAGTAGTGCAAGCCGAAACACACGTAAAGAAATTAGCGAAAAACTACACAGTGGAGGCGGATGTCGCCAGCCTTCGATTGGCAACCGGCGCAGATGTGGCTGTAAACTGGTTGTGGTAAAACGCACTTTGTACCCTAGTCCCACTAGCAACAACACTCGTGTTAGCAATATTTTGTGATCGAGTGAACTAGCACTTGTTTTGATCCAACCGGTTTGAAACTCAACATCTTTAGGCCAGCAGGCATTGGTTAGTCCGTGTTTCAAATAACACGTGATTCGGTTGCTCTCCTTCTGAGCGTGGTATGGACTGTCCAATTGCATCGTTCGTAGGGTTTATATTACACCGCTTCCCTGTGCATCAGTGCACCGGACATAGTACCGCGGCGTTGACGAAATTTTGGCTTCACAATCCACAAGCCTGGCAACCCGGTTTGGTGGACATGATCGATCGTACTCTCAATCAGGAAGCGATCGCGGCTCACAACCGGTAAGTTATATCGGTTTGTATAAACTAATTGCTCAGTAACTCAGTAAAATTAGACTAAACATAGTTTTTTATGCTTCTACGTGCAACCGCTTGTCAAGGCCATGGATGACAATAGGAGGTTTAAACTCGGGTAAAGTGAACAGCGACCATCAGAGATTAAAAAATTGTCCAAACGTTTGTAACTTGTGGCCAAAGGAATGAGCCGCCCGTCGTATAAATAAATGTCGCCACTCCGAATCCGCATAGCTACGGGCAACTCGCAATATGCCCTAGGCCGCGCGTGACTGCTGGTAGTCGCGTATCATCGAAGAATCGATGTGGCTTATTTGAATCTGTATTTTCAGCACAGTCTTAGTTGAGGCCATCACTTTTCGCTACTGCTTTCTCTCCCGTAGCTCAAGTCTTCTACACGTTATCCACACTGTGCACATACCAAAATACGGTTAAAATAGCTCTATTCAAACACCTCGGTGCTCATCAGACAGACAGCCTACGTACGAATACTGTGTCATCGCAGTTTACGTGAATTGAACGTTTTACGTATCGCAGCAGCAAGGGAGATCCCGTTTAACAGCCGAGAGAACGAGATAGAATGGGAATGCGATATAAGTCAAAAACTTACAATTGTGCGGCTGCCGAAATTTGCTGGGAAAAGAAATCTATTGGGGGTTTGGCAGGTGTTTGATATCCGATGAACCGGTAAGACGAAACGGACCCGAGTTAGATCCCGACTGAGAGCTTATATACCAATGAACATCGAGTACGAGTAAACATACGCCGTGAGAGATCATGATAGTTGCGTATAATTTTGGAGTCTACTATGGTATGCTTGAATACTGCGCCATCTAGCAAACTTTTACTGGCTAAGATGTCTTCGGATTGAAATTAGTGTTCAAAACCACTACTATTCACCATCACTCGTGTTCCATATCATGGTGCTCCTAGATTCGTGCGAACCGACAAGTTTAACTGGAACATAACACCACCGTGGTAGTGCATGACAAATCGAGAAGGTGAAGCAGTGTGCGCTCCGCATACTCGAGAGGATCCTCGAGAGTTCCACGATTACGTTATTTTAGTAGTCACGATGCTGGTGGCCTGAGCGATATCGCATACTGCCAGCGGCATAACCATCAGGCCAATCCGCGGGTGTTGTAATTATATTGTCATTTATCACGTGCCCCGTTTATCCTCTTCGTGCCGGAAGGCGGTGTGCCGTCACAGTAAAGCTACGTAACGCAATGAAAGCAGATACAATCAAAGTCATTAGGCCTAATGCTCAGACTGAATATCAACGAGTGCATCACGTGATAGATCAAACGTCATTATTTCTCACCTGCGGGAGGGCGGCTGCTAGAACCACTCAATCACATTTTGTAGCGAAGGGGGCTTCATAAAAGTTGTTACTCTCCAGTGAGTGTACAGAACTCCACACCTTTTAATTATATATAACCCTGTAAAATCCGATATTTGTGTCTTCTGGGGTTGTTACTCAATGCTTAGCTTTCCATCCTGATTACCTTATCTGTCTTTAACATCGGAATCACATATATGCTGATGAGACTTTATGCCAACAAGCGGTGCTGCTGTCCAACGTAACGGAGCTTAGTATTTCCGTCCCTTGAACGGTGGGAGGAGCGATTGTGATTGCTTCGGACGCTAGCGCTTCCACATGCGCGTAATACACGAGTCTCAGTTAGTTCACATTATTATAGGCAACTGGACAAAATACCTTTCGGTCGAATTAGCAACATGGCACATTTGCTGCAAACAACGTCAAGAATTTACCTCAAACCAGCAACCGTCTATCGTCCAACTCTCCATGATCAGCTGAGCGCAATAAATGGTATACACCTGACCGCCAAGTGGAAAGATATGCAGATTTTTCCTTTTGGTTAGACGGTCGCAAGTGAGGTCATTATTGTAAAGTAGCGATGAGGTAAGTGGTCACATGTATCGTCTGGTTGCGTCAGAATTTCGCCTGGGATACCATTTCAAAAGAGGTAATAAAAGTAGTGAGATTCATGTCACTTCTTTGTGTCAAATGTTGATCACTCAATTTAAACTTAACACAGCTTTAACCACAAAGGAAACATTGCGTAATCCGGTCTCTGTTGAACAATACATTGCCTTGCTATTAGATACAACACATCGTCACTTCAATATTGTCAGCATAGTAATACCGATCCATTCAGTTGCAACCACTGATTTTGACCACCCTATAATTCTAGCCTACATATCTCTCACATTATGTTTTCAGCGACCACGTTTGCGTTAGAAGCGTTCACCCCACCCCGTAACTTCACAATCCACAAAGCAGGGCGATCAAGTTGCATCGAAACATTAACTGTTACTGATAAATCAAGTAGGGGTTGATTGCCGTCTAAATCCACTTCAGGTTGCTTTTAAATTAACCGTTAAAGGGTTACCTGCCTACTTAGATTGCAGCGGTTTATTTGAAAGCAAACTTCTACTGGTTTCTTTGAGTCGATTACACCAAGTGATATAGTCATCCTGAGTAATTCCTTTTGGTATAACTAGAAAAGCTCGAAGCTGACAGTAGCGAAAATTGCCAGTGGAGATCGGCCTACAGATCTCGCGAGTCTGGTAGGTACAGGTCCAAAAGGATCCCGTTGACAAATCTACATAAGGGAAAGTAGGGAAGTCCATCTGCCCTGTTGCAAATTTTCATCACGATAGTTCACTGGACTCAATGGGCACTTCATAAACATAAACGGTATCTTTCTCGACATTGAGTGGTACAGCCAAACTGAGTGGTCCGATCGTTATGTACAGTGGGATCGTACAAAACAGATGATTGTTCTTGGCTTCAAAGTGGTTCACAAATGAATCGTTGGTGTTGAAGTGGACCAGCCTCCAGGGGACATGCTTTCATACAGCATATTTCCTCTCAAAGTTACGATACGGTGCGCGTCAGCTTTAAGGAACTCTGCCGTGAATTGAAACTGCCACGGTAGAGAAACTAGAGGATTGACTCTCAAAACGCGTCTGAACACATCACCTCAGAGTTGTATACTACACCTTTTGAAACCCTGATCGGTACACTCAGAGCAGCGGCCTTGGTTGTTGCTTTTGTAACAGGATGAAATTCAATGCGAGACTAGTTTACGTAGTTGGATCTATGGTTATTGTCTCCCACCAATATGTAGGCATTCTAACTACACCTACATACTTGGGACAAACGAATTGCAGAGTAGCTCCCAGGAACGTGATCTTGGTGTGATGGTACAGAGCGACCTCAACTGTTCAAAACAGGCTGAGGTAGCTGCCAAAAGAGGCAACCAGCACGTCGGCATGCTGCGAAGGGCATTCGGGAGATTTGACCCATCAATCTTCCCAATGATGCTCAATTCCTACATGCGCCCGCATGTTGAGTACGCAATCCAAGCTTGGCAACCTTGGTTGAAACGCGACCTAGAAGCGATAGAGGCACCACAACGAAGAGCAACAAAAAATGTAAGGGGCCTGCGCTATCACTCTTACCACCGAAGGCTGAAGTTGCTGGGAATTTTTAGCGGACGTTATCGAAGGGTGCGCTGCGATCTCATATTAGCGTATCAGATATTGAGTGACCCCAACCACGTATGCCACCATTTGCTGAAACTTAGCCGCAACACGCAGCTAAGGGGTAACTGCTTAAAGTTGAAGGAACAATATAGCCGCCTAGAGTGTCGACGGAATTACTTTTCACTTCGGGTTTGCAAACCATGGAACGCACTCCCAGACTCAGTAGTATCCTCTCCTACCCTGGATGTTTTCAAAAAACGATTAGATGTTGCTCTCCGCTCCCAACACTTTGTTACCTAAGCTCCTCTGTTGTGGAATACGCCAAGCATGTTTTCAACAGGACTAATGTATCAAATGGACCTAAGTGAGTGACCATGTTTTATTTTCTCACTCCTTACCTCAACTATCACTGCGCCCCAGTGTCTATCTGAATGTTTACGCGCGATATTTCTTTTCATTTTACACTGATGTTAATTATCAAAGTATTCATCTCGGCAGACGTTCGATAGATGACCCAGACATATTTTAATTGCATCATATTCACCGCTACCATCCTACGGGACGTGTCAAGTACTTGCTTTTATTCCGTGATAAATCATTGTTCATTGTTCATTGTTCATAATGTGACGATTCCAGTTAAGCGCATTCGATCAAAGCAACAAAAATCAGAGGGTCATGGGCCTCGGTGCATGATGTTTTTACCCTGCGTTCGCACTGTCGAGCGCATCACTTGCAGATAGATACAGACAACACACGAATGCACCTAAGAAAAGCATTTGAAGTAGTTAATACTGTCTTCGCTGATGCATTATTGTACTACTACCTCTTGCTCAAAACAAATGCAAACGACCATTACTAGACCTTTCTGGGACTGTAAGTTCAGCAAATCACCAACAAACATGTATTTGATGTAGAGACAATTTACTTTTCATGAGGTTCCATGCAAGAACCGTTGCACGATCTGATCTATGACACTGCTCCAGTGCGAAGCGTTTCCCTCTTACAGTACACACGAGACAGCCAAATCATCCGTTCGCTTCCATTCAGTCCAATTCAGGAATTGTAATAACCCTTGTGTTGAATTGAGTGTCGGTCGGACCAAATAATATTCAGTCCATTCTGCCACTGTTCTTCATGTTCGTCCAATGGTAAAGTACTTTAATCATCTCTCGGTACGTTTGCTCATGTGGACCCTCGTAAATGACACTGTTGCCATTTATGAGTAACAGAGTTCCCCTTTAAATTCCCTTGTTCGCTGTGGTACGTAAGCATGAATTCACACGGCCTGCAGTCCACCCGTCTGTTGCGATAAAAGTTCTATGGTAAGCAAATTAAACTTATTTCGATTAGTCGAGGCAGAAAGCACAACCACTAAAATCCGGTGTGGAATTGCCGAGCATCTTGTGTTCATGTAGAATCCCGTAGATCTATAACAGAAAGCATATGTCAAATTCCGAACATTTATCACTAGG